CAGGGGTCAGCCCTGCCTTGCCACCTAGAAGTGAAATGAGTTCTGAGTTAGCTCCCTAATAAGGGAAAGAACAACCCCCAAGGTAGGGGGGCATGTGTGTGGGAGAATGTGACAATCTCTGACCATCTTCAACTTGGTAGGACTGAGCGGCACTGCTGACATACCTATCCCTGCATTGCCACTGAGAAGGAAGCCCTCAGGTGCTGCAGCTGTCACATGGGAGGGCCAGTAGGCCACACAAGGCCCTACCCAGCATTAATGGGCTCACCTTCTCCAGGATAAACCCAAGCCAGTCCACACCAGATTGTCTGCGGTGCTCACCCGTCCTCATGGGCCCAGGGCCTCCGCATCTCCAAGTCTAGGTAACAGGACTGCTCTGATCTGCCCTTCCTCACCTCAAGGCCATCCCTCACTGTCATTCACTGGTACCCTCTAGGCCAATTAGCCAGCGGGTTCCTGTGTGCATTCTCAAGAGTACCACCAGAAGCTCCAACCAGGTCCTCCTCACTCCAGCACTTTGTGAACAAGGACTTTCTTTGTTTCTATATCAGAGAGGAAGATGCAAGATTGTCTGAAGATATAAGGTAACTTAGAAGATACCTGCAGAGACACCTGTACTTGGTGGCTGCACCAACTCCATTGCCCCTGGAAGTTCAAAGCCCCCTTTTCCAAAGATTTATGCTTATTTCCAAGGGGCTCACTGTTCCCTGGTCTGTTGGCTTCTTCACCCTGTAGCTCCTTCATCATATCAACCCCAACTAGAACTTCAATGACTCTTTTGATTAGAATTTGCATCTTTCTCAGTCTGGGCCACTCTTACAACATTGCCAAGTACTACACACTTTGGCAAATTCTTCTTTACTTATTACCATGGGATGATTTTAATAGGATGAAGCTACTTTGAGAACAATTCTGTGCTCTGGAAACTTCTAGAGCTTAGATTCCCAAATATATGATCTCCTACCCTATAACTATTCACTAAAAATGGGTCATTTACTGGTATATGAGGACTGCCCAGTTGCTTCTTCTACAAGTTAAAGAAGATAAAGACCACAAGCTGGCAGGTCTGAATTCTTTTTTACCTGCTGCATCCCTTTGGCCTGCTGGTCGTAACACAGGAAAGCCCCCAGCAAACAGATCTCCCAAGGCTGGGGGTGTGCTCCCACCTCTGGAGTTTGCAGACCCTCCTCCTTCTTTGTTGGTTCCCTTAGAATCTGAGAAAAGAGATAAGTACATGTGGATTTAAGAGCAGAGCTGAACAATCAACTCCTATTTGAAGACATGGTCTTACATTGCCATTGGTGGCTTTCCTATTCTCTCTCCCCCAATGCTACCCTTGCAACCAGGGTCTTCACCAAGCACCCTGCAGTCTCACGTGTCTAGGTCTGCCTGCAATAATCTCTGGTTCCACCAAAGTGCTGATCATCGGTGGGCAGGTACTCTGAAAAGTAACCAAAACAAAGGCACCTAAAGACAGGTATATGTTGCTTAATGACTGCGTGTAAATCCATGGTTCCATAACGTGGATTTTTTTTT